GGGGGGGGGGGGGGCGGCTTTTGGGGGCATTAAAGTGTGCTGTCAGGGAAAATTTTTCAAATCTACCTCTAAAAAAGATGATTTTCAACAGTTTTGAGGCAATCTATTGCAATGATATTACACCCCCCCCCCTCCGAAAAAAAGGGAAAATACCGGATTTGGAATATAAAAATTGATGAAGTACTAGAAAAACGCATTCTTAGCACATCAGTGCAGACGTTTTGGAATTAAGCGTCAAAAATGTTGCGCCTCTCAGAGTGTTGCGCCCTTAGGATTAAGCCTTCGTAGCCTGATGGCAAATCTGGCCCTGCTTAGATCCGTACCTTCATGATATTTGTGTCTGAATTTTTGAATTTTTGAGATTTTCAGATCTCTAGAGAATTAAGACCCAAAGAAGGTATTCTGACGGTCCTTCGCTCTCGTGGAAACTTCTCGAGTCTGACCTCTTACGGGAGTCGTATCATGTTATTTAAACTTCGAGCTTCTGAAGGTATTGGCCGATCTTGCATGGTTTCAATTCCAGTCCTTCATTATGCTCACTCCGTTACAGGGGAAACTCTGATGAATACCGCTCATGAGTCGAGGCACATACTAAATAATGCGTTTCATTCTTTGTTTCAGGCGAGCCGTGTTGTGTTCCAGTGCACTTGGCCCGGATGTCTTGCGGTTACTGCCACTTGCCAGGCAATTGAAACTCACGTTCGTCAAACACATTTAGGGTAAGTATTCGCGCAGTATCTTTTATTCAGGCGTATTTGCGTAGACGAATTTTGTCTACAAAGAGGAGCTGCAGCAAATAGACCCATTTAGAGCTGGATCATTCCTTATCTTCATGTAGGATAGGATGTCCCAAATCTAATGGCAACAGTTTGTTTAGAACAAATGAGACTATTTTGTCCTATGAAATTTTATTGTGTGAGCCATTTTAAGCCACTAACTTACCTCACTGTCGGTTTGCCTTCAGTTTACAGTGTAGGCAACCCGAGCTCCCACGTGGCCGAATAGTGGTATCACTTTCAGGCGTCACAGTCGTTCGAGGAAAATCGTCGTTCCTCGGACGAAGGACCATAACTTCTTTCCTGAGTTGCAACATTTACACAAAACAATTCAATTTTCTGCAAGCATATACCTGTGCAATTTTCGTCCAAGACTCATAAAAATCAGCGAAATTTTCAGTTTGAAGTTCACCTTCTTCCCCCAGCCGAAGATATACCAGATGGTAATTCCGGCATGTCTCGCGAAGTAAACTCTTGACCCTATTTCCTAAACTTATACTATTATCTTATTAACTATCTCCTTACTTTACTTGTCTCTTTTATTATCATACACATTATGTTATCACTATATATAACTTATATCTATCATCACCTAAGCAAATTAGTAATAAGATACGCACATTACAATTTCTGTAAATATGTACTTACTGAATAAAATTTCGCTTGACAAAAAAAAAAAAAAAAAACAAAAAACAAAAAAAGTTCACCTTCTTAAAATGCAACTCTCGAAGGAAATTTGTAAACGTTGAAATTTAGTTACGTTCCTTCGTTTGGGGAACGTCGAAATCAACTCTTATCCGGAGAAGGGCACCTAGAATACACTTGTTATTTTTTTTCGGCAGGCCAAAGACGGGAACGTCGGTGGACGGCGATTACGATCTTGACGATCACGAAGAGGAGTTCTACTACACAGAGGTGGAAGTGCAGCAGTCCCCGCCGCCAACCCTATCTCACCGGGACATGGCTCGACCGCCCCACGAGGACCCCGAGTACCAGAGGGCCATCCAATCCCATCACAACTACGCCAGCCCGATCAGCATACCTTATTCCAATGGACACGTCGCTTGGTCCTTCTCTAATACGTCACCGGTAAGCTCCAATCAAAGTTTCAACTAGTACTTAAACAACCCGCACTACACCCCCTTTCTAAACTGATGGCGCCCCTTCTAAGTCCTGGGTGTGCAATCCAAATTACATGCGCACGACCCCTTCCGAGTCTCGAGTATGCAATCCAAATTGCATGCGCACGGTCCCTTCCAAGTCTCGGGTGTGCAATCCAAATTACACGGCCCCTTCCAAGTCTTGGGTGTGCAACCCAAATTACATGCGCACAGCCCCTTCCAAGTCTCGGGTATGTAATTCAAATCACATGCGCATGACCTCTTTCATTAATACCGATGCTAAAACTCCCGAAACACGTATCTTGTGAGCGCCGTTTGAAAATCTCTGCTCCTGTTAATTTTTTTTTCATTAAAGGAGAAGAAAACGACATTGTCTCTCGAAGTTTTCTCAGGATTTTCCTCGCACAGAGAAGAAAAATCACGGAAGTTATTAAGTAGCTCTCCACTTAAACAATGAAGTATGGCAGGAAATCTGCAACATCGTAAACCGGAATGCGTGGTTCGGGAGTTTTGCCATCGATTAGCTTTCTGACCTTCGATATTTTAATTGTTTTCACAGTTCGCTCTACTATTCCACCAGGCCAATTTCTATAATTTTTGCAGCTATATAGTCAGGTGAAAGCCCCTAGATGAGCCCGCTCCATTCAGATTTTGGAAATATGACCCCGGTTTTTGTATATTACGTGACAAAATTGTTAATGCTCCCATTTAAATCAGACATTTTCTTTTTTGTCACAATTCGTTCTGAAAAACCGAGCCAATTTTCATGATTTTCGCGGCTGTCGATAGGAGATGGTTCCCGATGACCCCGCTCCATTTACTTTAACTTGCGGGGAGCTGCTAAGTGGGCCGTAGAGGGTGCGTAGCCGCGCCTCACAGACCACACTGTGTTTGACGCAATGCGTGAAGTATTCACGCAGTTGATGAAATTACCTTTCTCCCGATCACTTTTTATCCGGTTCTCAGTAGACGATAGCTATTTCGATGTTAATCATCATCATCAGGTCACTTCGACTTCGACTTCGGTAAACACTAACAGTCACATCTTATATTGTTAAAATTCACTAAAATTTACTAAAATTTACTAAAATTTACTANCCGATAAAAATAAGTTCAACTTTAAATTATTCACGCAGTCTTGTAGGCGCTATGCGTTTCACGCTGATCGCACTGTTTGCCGCAATGCGTGAGGTACTTGTGCATTCTTGTAGGCGCTATCCATTTCACGCTGACCGCAATGACCGCACTGTGTTTGATGCAATGCGTGGAGTATTCGTGCAGTCTTGTAGGCGCTAATATGTGTTACATGCCGATCGCCGCGCCGAGGGCTTCTCCTTTTCATCTCAAGTCCTCGTCATCATTTCTCTCTAAGTCGCGCCGTTCCAGGCCAAATTGCGTGTTTGTTTTCTCTCTTAACTCGACTAATTAAAGGTGCTATCTCTTGTATCACTGAAAGACGACAAAATTAGAAATTACTATACTCTCAGGAAATGAGAGATTTTGTCGCCTTTTCTCGTTTGTAATTTTTTTTCTGAAACCGATTTTTTTTTATACCTACATTTAAAAAAATTGCAAAATTTACCGCCCCCTATAGATTTGCCGCCATGAGCCGCGGCCCATATGACCACCCCCTTAATCCGGCCCTGCCCCTAATCTTGATAAAAATGCAACCTGCAAACACCCATTTTCATTTCTCCTTTCAGATTTCATTCCCAAGTGGAGTTGCATTGAGGATTAGTCTTACCGTAATGATAAATTATTATCAACTTTTTTTCTTTTTTAACTCGAGTGTGCTTGACTTTGTTGAAAATCCGGAAAATCTAACGATTATTTCAATTTGATTTCAGAATTCAGTGCAAAAGCACATGAAGCTCTCGTACTCAGCATTACCAGCCAAACTGCTGCCCACCAGCCCTACTCGAAAAGTTCGTGGTGAAACAAAGAAATGCCGCAAAGTTTATGGCATGGAGCATCGAGAATTGTGGTGCACGCAATGCAAATGGAAAAAAGCTTGCACCAGGTTTAGTGACTAAATCCAAGGCAATCAATCAAATCCAAAAATAAGACATATAAATCATTTATAATATATTTACAGTTTACAATATATTTATAATTTATGTTATATTTTTAAAAATTTTATTTCAAATTTTTATTATATTTTTTAAAAAAAAAAGATGAAATTTTCTATGAGTGACTAAGATATATCCCCTCTAAATGAAACAAAAACAGATAAGTTTAAGGTTTTATTCCTCTATTTTTATTTTTATTGACTTTTGAAGTTAAAATCGTATTTTTGAACATGTTTGATGCGTTGTTTTTCTTTTCGAGAGTTGTTATCGAAAGTGTTTTCGTACTTTACATGAAAGTATCGTGCATTGTATCCGCTAGTTGGGTCAAGAACCTTGCATTTTGACAATGAAATTAAATTGAAAAATTTCTATGCAATAATCTTTTTGTTTTGTAATCATTGTTAACATTTTTTCCCCCATTTCGAACAACATTGTTCTAATAAAATCATTCATATTCCATTTGTCAGCAATGTACCTAACAAGAATTCAAGAGAATCCGTGAAACTCATACCCATCACTCATGGTACTTGTTAATTGTACCAGAATGATCGACTGTCTACTGGTCATTACAGTTAAACATGCAGGTGTATGAAGAAACATAATTCAAGTTTTCACTGAAGTCTCGATGCTTATTAATGTGATATAGGTACTATATTTGCAAACCACAAAAATTATTTTGTTAATGATATATTATTTCATCATGTTCTAATTTGATTTTTTAAGTACTTCAAAGCAAACATTGTCTGCTCTTGTGATAAAAGTCGATAAAAAAACATAATTAAATCGTTCTTAAGGTGATTTAGAAACTTACCTACCTTTCTGTATGATTTATTCCCTCCTTAATTTTTACTTTTTGTATAAAACTTAATCACTAATTTTATGAAAAAAATTTCGATAAAAGCGATACAATTTTGTATTTATCCCTCTTTACGATACATATCTTTTGCTACACCACCTGAAAGAAAATACTACCTATTTATTCTAATTTTGCCCTCAAGTGACGCATCACTTAACCTTTTAAAGATTCCGAGTTACGGTTGATAACTTTTTTTTTCTCTTTAAACTTTATTCCTCTCCTTAACCTGTGCCCTGAATTGAAATTATTTTAGGTGCTTTTAAATTATTAAGAAGTCTTGAGCTTCTTGCATTGACTATAATACTGTTGTGCTAAGGGAGAACGCTGTTTCAGCCTTCAGACGTTGCCAAATTTTATTTGATTATTCTCTAATTTTCGGGAAAAGAAATATTTTTCTTCCGATTTTCCCAAGAATTTTGTTTGTAATTGAATCTGAAATGTCTGAAAACTCCAAGGAAATATATTCGAAACTTTTTTCAAAAATAAATAATTTCTGAGAAAAAATTTGGAAGCATTTGGAAGCTCTTTTGGCGTTCTACCTTAGCACCACAGAATAGTGCAGAGGAAAGACTGCATCAGTATTATGTACTCCAAGACGGAAAGAAAACCATGGCAATGTTATTTATTTTATCGATGTTTAGATTTTAATTAAGTTAATATAGGTATTTACGTACCTAAAAAAAGTATGTCAAGAACCAAAAGCAATTTGTGACCAATTTCTTTAAATGCGGGAATCGAACTACCCTCAGTTACCAATTGTTCATAATCAACATGACTTTTTTGAAATGCAAATTGTTTCAGACCTTGAGTCTCTGCTGTTACTTTTTGGTCGAAATCTACATTAATTTACGAGGGTGACAAAATACCAAGAGTTATTTCTGCGTTTTTTTTATGCACTCTTAACAGAGTCATAAATGTATGGTTAGTCTAGTTTGATAAGTCATTTTAACTTAATCTATACGTGAATGTAGGATAAAATCTTGGTATCAATTAAACTTATCTGTTTCGTTTACTTTATATGTACACTTATTTATATTATTTTGATCATTAAGTTTTTTCTTTTAAATTGCCAAACTATGTTCATTTCATTTTTTAAGTATCCATGTGTCCATTTGACAGTCTTTCAAAAATGACTGAACAGTGGTCACCAAATATTCGTAGTATGTAAGATTGTTTTGTGCTCTTATCTATTGTCTGAATCTAAAATCTCTTTATTTAAATTGCATCCATTAGGACACAAAAATACTTTGATAAATACTTGATAGAACTTCCCTGTCACTTAAGTAATTCATCCAAACAGACTGATTTTCTTCAAATAGAATTGGGGCTCCGCTCAAAGCCAGAAATTGATGTGCTATAATGAAGTACCTACCCAGCAAGTCAGGCTGCTTGCAAAATTTTCTATTTCCTTTGGGTAGGTACATTTAGTAACAAAAGTAACGCAATGAAACAAAGAGAAGTTGTCTTAGTTCATCATAAACGAAATCTTTGTGAAGTGAAGTAATGTCAGACAATTAGAGTGATCAAAGTAAGCAAAGTCTTTGTTTAAAACTTTGGATGAATTTGATCTTGTTTTAAAGGGTTTTTGCTACAAGCATACTTAATATTGACATCTTGTCATCTATTTAGAACTACCCTGTCTCAAGGCTAACTGTGTGGAGTAAGTAAATGCAACCATTCGAAATAAAATATCCTTCAGTAAGTACTGCTGTGCTAAGCGAGAATGTCATATCAACTTTCAAACGTTGCCAGATCTCCCCTGATAGAACATAAATTTTCAAAGAAATTTGTGACTATTTTTGTTCAAATTTTTCAGACAACTTTTTTGCAATTTAATCTAAAATATTTGGAAATTTCAAGGGAAACTATCGGTAGCTTGCCGTAAAATGAACTTTTCATTGAGGGTAATGTGGTAACGTTCGAATGTTCATACAGCGTTCTTCCCTAGCACAGCAGAGTAAGCTAGGCAACAAAGAAGTATCAACGATGCTGCTGTGTCATGCATCTTAAACTATCATTACTTCTTCTTTGAAAAAACAGCTCCCTGATGAATGGAATCATTGTACAAAGATTATTTTTGATGTAAGTAAACTTCAATCCCCCCTCCCAATATTTCAAGGAAGTAGGTATAGTTTTAACACTTGTTCTCTTTTAGCTTTTATTTTTTTACTTACCTGAACTCCTTCGATAGAACACCAATTAATTACTATAATAATTTGCTGGATAGCATATAATTAAGTACTGTAACTTAATTACCTGCTCATCAAAACCAATACCTGGGCGCTTTTATTCAGACGGGGCCATTAGACCCAAACAGATTATTTTTACTGGTTAGAAGTCCCTGATGCGCTTTTTTTACTTGAAATATTTTGGAGCCCAGGTTTTTTTTTTTTTTTTAAACAAGTCTAACAGACAAAACAAGTCCAACATACATCAGAGTTCATTCCAATATTTCACATTTAAGATTTCTAAAACCTGAGTAAGTCTATTTTTTTAAAGATTTGAGACCTAAGCACACTGTTTATGTATTTCCTCCCTTTACTTTTGCTCTTTCTTTCAGTAACTATCTCTCTTTTCTTTTTATCTCTCTTTCAAACTACATCTTACAAATGGAGTCAGATCGTTACCTACAAGTGTTCAAAGTTATTCATAGTAAGGAATGTTTTCTTTTAGGTATCATATTTCCATATTAGTATGAAATAATATGTAGGCTGTAATTCATTTCATTTTAACTTTTATCTGAACGCATCATACTTACTTTAGGATAAAAACGAAATAATTTTTTTTATTTTAAATCAGAATCTAATCTCACTCTTATAGGAGCCTTGATTGGAAAATGTATTGCAGTAAGTACCTATCAAAAAAGAGGAATAGAATAGGAAAACAAAATCATCTCCAGAGTTGTGAAAAGTCAAATCGAAGGGGAAAAAATTATGAACACTTCCATTAATTGACCATCATTACTAACCAACTCGTATTCTAAATTGAGTATTTTTCAAAATATTCTATTTTTTTGTAATCAACGTTTTAATCTTTTTTTTGATACTGCATGGAGATGTTCACTTACCTACTGTTTTAATTTTTATTAAGTATCATGAAATTGTTCTGCATATATTTTATTTTAAACTGTTAACATACTCTATTTTATATTTAGGTGGAAACGAAAATTTAACATTTTCCCTCCCCGTAATTTTTTTTCCTCTTTTTTTGTGCTAGTGTTTTGAACAATGAAAAAATTAAGTTTAGACGAAAGTTTCGTAAATGCTTAAATTACTATAAATAGGTTATTTCAGAGATAATTGTCGCAAAATAGGTAGTAGTTCGTAAATGAATGTTTGTGCATGTGTCGTCAGTGTTGCTGCATCTGGAATTCTCTTATATAGTAGCTCTAAATTGTGAAAATTCAATGTTTTTCCACATTAATTTTTCACAGAACAAAGGACAGTGATTTAAAAAAGATATCACCTTTTTTTTCTCATCTTAATAAGTACATATTTTTCAATAAGGAAGCATAACCAAGCTATTACACTAAACTATCGAACAGTTATTAGCGAATTCCAATTAGTTTTTGTCAGGAATTCAGGTAATTTAAAAATTAAGAGAGATCAATGACAAAGAAAAAATACCAAGTACCTATGTCCATTTTTCTGTGTGATCTATGTCCAAAATGTTGTACTTACGCAGTAACTTTATAGGTCTGCTGTCGAGGGAAGGTCCTTTCGTAAAGATAATTTTTTATTTTTTGCTCCAAACCCAAAATCAAGGACTGCAGATAAGTCCCTCGAATATGACGGTATTAAAGCATTACTTCCGCAGTGTCTTCAGTATTTGATCACCAGGTCAACTTGAGCTCGCGTTTCTTGAAATTTTGAGGAAAAGTAGTTCACGTGTGTAATCAATTTATTTTTTCGGAAATTTATTTTCTCATTTTTAAAATTGAATAAATCTTGTCAAGCACGGTATGCCAGTTCATTACAAGTAAATTTTGGTTTTTAAAAGTAGTCATGGTTCTGCGAATAGGTTTTCGCAGTAAAATGTAAATTGACCCCAAATCTCGCCGATAAAAAGAGATAAATGTGATCAATATGAAAGCATTCGAAACCAATGTACATAAATACTTATACCTTTTTCAAATGAGGCTGTGCCTTTCCTTTTCTTTCCTCACCAAATGCGCCACATCATAGGCATGGTGCACAATACTTAGGAACGAGAAACTCACAAATCCTTATGCTAATAGTCTTACCACTTCTTGCATAGACTCTGTCAAAAAGAAATATTGCAAAAATCAAGGAATCGCTTTCTTAGTTACTTCACATTAATTTTATTTTGATTTTTTTTAACTTTCACCTTTTTCAATTACATGCCATCAAATTTCTCACTAGTATTTTCTAAATATTTTTATGGTGATGAACCTATTTTTCATGTAGGTACCCAGCTGTGTAGCTTTATAAGCACTCCAATGTGACTTTTCTCAGTGAATTTTAAGAGGACAAAGAAGTCGAGTCAGTGTGAATTGAGCATAATTTCAAGTAGTCGAAGATGCTTCACTTGTGATTTCTCAGGAAGCAGCTCCATCATTTACATGTATGAAAAGCAACTTTTCAGTGATCTTTCTAACTTGCCTTGCAAGTCTTTTAATTTCGGAATGAAGCTCAGGGTGTTCTTCCGATGATCTCTTTAATGTTTACTTTTTTTTAATCGAGTTGTTCCCTAGTGGAAGAATTCTCACAGGAAGAAATCTCATTTTCAAGCATTGTCGTGATTATCAGTCCTTAATTCGGTGTCACTAGTTGATATATTTTAAGTTTAAAGAGAATAAAATTCCAAGTTGCTCAATTTTTTGGATACCTACTTAATTAAGTACTTATATTTAAGCGTCTCAACATTTTCTACCAGCTATGATGTGATCAAAACTCATCCGTAGCATACATCACTTAAAGTTCGAATTCAGTCCGAGCAGGTGTTTCGGTTGGTCTTAATTTGGGTCTAATTAAATTCAAGTAACTCTGTGTCAATATCAGTATTAAAATGCAAAGTATGTATTTAGTCTCTCGTGAAAAAAGG